CAGGCAAGAGTTGGATTAAAGGTAACTAACGCACTGGTCGTCATCAGTTCCATATAATCTCTTTTTTTACTAATAGGCTGCTTAGGTCCAATCGAAAAAGGTGCTAGCGATGGCCAACTTAGTTTCGGCAATGATCTCGTCAAAGCGGTCAGAGCTGCAGTTGCCCGCGGTCCTGGAATCAAAGCCGGGCCAAAGGGCAAAGGAAGACGCATCCGCATGGCAGCCGAAATGGCAGTTGCCGCCAAAGACCAAGCTGCTCTGGATTCCACCAAATCCCAGCCCGACAACGGCTTCCTGTCAACCCTCTATGGCCCCTTTGCTCCAGTGGTAGACATCATAAAGCCATTCTGGAGCAGCAATATGACTATCGGTGTTCTCGTGATTCTTCTCGTCACTATGTGGTTCCGTGCTTCCGTCCCTGGCTATCCAACTTCTAGAGCTGGGCTCACGTCTCATTCCGCGCCCGACCGGCTAATTGCATTAGAAGAACTATGGCACCGAGAAGAGAATGAGCTTTGGGACTGGCTGGAGGAGAGAGTAGGGCTAGATGGTCTCTCATTCCCGGTTGTTGATAACGCGCATTCCCGAGACGACAAACAGCAGCCCAACCGCCGTGCTGAAAAGGAGTTTGAAAGTCGTCTACATCGCGATAGAATGTCTGAGCGTGAAGCCGAAAATGCCATCCGAGTTACACAAGAACGCCTCCAGACTCTGCAGAAAATCGTCGAAAAGCGGAAACAGAACCGCGAGGCTTCAGTAGAGGAACAGGCCGAACCTCCCTCAACATGACAGGCAGGGCAAGAATATTTTTTTCTAATATCTTGCCTTAAGCCTGTCACTTTCATTATAACTTCGTTTACCAAACGAATCTCTGCGTTGCTGTTTTCTATTCTTTCCATCCCTGTATATCATACATTCGCCTTACACAGGCTGTTTCCTTTGTTCCTGCATAACCGCATGTTTTATTTACCGTTGGGCGTATATCCTGGTTCAAAAACGTCGAGTTTGTTTGCTCTCCTTTTCCTTGCTGCTTAATCGAGTGTTGGAGTTAGGCTGGCGTGCTATCGTTTATCATATTCTCTATGTATCAAACCAATTTATCCCAAATGCATTTTTTAAGAAACCCTTCATACAACTATCGTGTTTCTTATTAACGCTGCATAGGTAGGCCTGCTTTTCTCTATACCAACTACGAGGAGTGATGGTATTCAGTTCATGCTGTTTGCACCTTTTCCCGAGTTGAAACCAATATATTTAGTAAATGCAGAAAAAAATAAACAGAGAAGATAAAAGCCAGCTGCATCATTAAAGAAAAGGAATCAATCATCTAAAACTTCTTCTCAAGCCCTGTGTGAATATCTACCATCAACGCATTTAGCTCCTTCGTATAGTCACCTCCACCCTCGATGTCTAGGGCCTTGGTAATCCACTTTTGGGCTTCCTCCCATCGTCCCATCTCAACAAGACACTTTCCGCCTCGCCACCAGGCTTTTCCATTTCCCTGCTCGTTACACTCCACGCTAAGCTGTGCATCAACCCATGCTTCAGCCCACAGTTGCTGCTGCATGTAGGCCTGTGCTCTGTTTGCATAAAGCGCAGATAGCTCCTCACGCACTAAGCCCACAGGCTCCCACGCTGGCCGCCCAAGTGCCATCTCAATCGCAAGGGTGTACATCTTGACGGCCTCCGCAAAGGAAGACTTTCGGTAAGCAGTGTTGGCTGTGTCGCGGAGTTTCGCTATTTGTGCGCTTCGCTTGGGATTTACGGGTCGAGGTGGGGGAGGGATATTTGGGGGATCAAGGTTGAGGAGAGTACGGTGTGTTTGGTTTATGGCTTCGAGTAGGGCATTGAGCTCGGCGGAATTGGAAGTGGGGTCTGAAAGCGCTTTGGACTGTGAATCAATCTGTATCGGGTATTGTGTGAAGTTCTCTGCGTCTGAAGCCATGGTGATATATAAACTGTCTATCCCGAATCGAAGGCTGCGAACGGCCTTGAGGAATATAAGAAACAGGGGTTGATGGAACGGCCTTATTCAACGGCGTTGTGATTTGAGTTCCTGATTGAGGAAATTTGTCAGTTATTTTTGCCTAGTTGTACGACAGAAGACTTGAATTATACTAACCTTCCGTAGTAATATAGTTAAGTATTTGAATCTGCTCGGCGAAGGCGGGTTTGTTCAAATCGAAATTATCTGGCGATGCTTGTAGCAAAAGTCCTGTTAAACCGAACATGAGACCAACTTGTTCTTCTGCGATATATGGCGCTAGTCCCTTTTTAGCCTAGTCTATTATTACCTTCTGGAACAGCGCTCGGACCACACTCTAACTTCACGAAGTCTAGAAAAGGAAACTCATGGAACAACACGAACTTCATCGCCATGGCGTGAGCTGAAGAAGCGGAGGTTTTCACGCAAATTCAACTATTAAGATACTCGCAAAGGAAGCTTCGCGCAATATCTTACCTATTTGTTTTGAAATCCAATTAAGTTCTTCTCCTAGATCTCTCAGACTGACTATTTATTGGCCTTCGGCAGTTCGGTATAGGTGTTGCTCTATCGCACCGGATACTTTCAAGGACACAGATATCGACAAACACATCCCTTCCCTACTAAAAGTCCACGTATAAAAAAATACTAAATGAGGTTTAATGCATATATATAGATAAGACCTATCTCTGTCTGGTTTTACTTTAATATTCGTCCATCTCATGGAATACCGTATTATCTTGGTCACAAAGAGAAAATATCTTCTTGGCTAAAATCTCCTTAGGAGTATCAACAAGCTCCGCAAGAACCTATTCGGCGAAAATAAATCGGGGCTCGTTTTTACTGATGTCTCTTTGTCCGCTGTGTTGCACAAGCGGTTTTCGCTTGCTTTGTGTCTCACCTGTGACCCTGGACGATCCCCTGCGCCTCCTTTACCTCGAGTCGAGGAATATATTTATTCTCCAAGAAGTGCATAATACGGGTGTTTTTTTAGCTCTATACCCTTGCACATTATAGGAGATATATACCCAATTATGAATTCATGGTCCTTGTTCTGACAGCCTGCCTAACCGCGTGTTGTGGCATAGTCCAAATGGAGCAGCATGATAGCCATGCATCGAACCGCTCTTGAAAGTTTTGTTTGTTACTTGGGGTCAGTTTAACAAGCACCTACCCACTCTGGTCTGCAGTGCCACAGTACCGGTCTCAATTTCAATGCCCCGGCTTCTATGGTCATTCGGGGGCCATTGTTAGTTATAACAGTTTTTTATGAAAACCGTGGCTTATACACCATGATGTATATATATCATATATCATCCACAGGAGACACCATTCATCTTCAGTTGATTAACGTGAATTGAACTCCCCAACCTCAATTCTCCGTGTATACCATAGTACCACTAGATTCTACTTTTTTTTTTCGGGGGCATACAACTCATGATGTGGCACTCTCCTTTTTCCACCGCATTCACCCTTTTTCTAGGTTTCTTTACTCTTACCCTGGCCCTACCAACAAACAGTCTTGCAACTACTGGCCATTTCACGATCGAGCAAAGGCTCATAAACACCATTAAATCGGATTGGCCACCGAAAGAACTATGGAGGGGCCTGAGGAAACATCACAGACCTCTACCACCAGCTGTCTCTCGCATAAGTAGGCACGGGGGCTCTTTTGCCAATGGTACCGTCAAAGTCACTCCTGATGAATACGATACTGAATTCGTTAATGAAATTACAATCGGAAATGATACTCTCTTCGTTGACATTGATACTGGGTCTTCTGATTTGTGAGTCCTATCATTCCATACATCTTTGCCCCAGCAACAAGCTAATGAACTGGGACTACATAGCTGGGTTTTTTCATCCCAGCTTCCGGAACAATCACAACGAAACCATCGCATCTATCATCCAGAAAAAACAGGAATAAAGCTCCCCAAACAAATTTGGGAAACCAGTTACGGTGATGGGACTGGAGCTGCTGGAAATGTATTCTTAGACAAAGTCAATCTCGCCGGATTGGAAGTGTCTTCCCAAGGTGTGCAAGCAGCAACATGGGTTAGTTATCAATTTGCAGACAAAACAGTTACAGACGGGGTTATTGGTTTTGGATTTGACCCTTTTAATGGAGGCAAGGGACATATCCTTGAATTTTTTGGGTTAACAACTTGCTAACATATATGTCTATAGTAACACCAAAAAAACAAAAGACTTGGTTTGGAAATATTATGGAGAGACTCGAAAAACCTATCTTTACTGCTTGTCTGAAGCATAAAGCTCCTGGGTTCTATGACTTCGGCTTTATTGATAAAACGAAACATATCGGGAACCCTAGCTATCTGCCTGTTGATAATTCAAGAGGATGGTGGGAAACCACCTTCAATGGATTTTCTACTGGACCCAGTGATAATTCTACATATCGATTTAGGGCAGTTGTTGGTATGTGGCCATGAACCTATGGATATCATAAACTATGTCATACTTACAGTACCATCCAGATACTGGAACCACGTTCATGCTTCTACCCAGGGAAATTACCGAGCAATACTATTCCTCGATCACCGGTTCGGCATTTGATAGAGAGAATGGAGGCTGGACATTTCCATGCAACGCAACCCTGCCAGAGTTTGCAATTCATGTCAATGACTATAAAGCCATAGTGCCCGGTGAGCATATCAACTGGGCACAGATCCCAGGAACCAACACATGTTTTGGGGGAATTCAGCCGGTGGACCGCTCACCTGCTGTACTTGGGGGGTCGTTTTTAAAGAGTCAATTCGTTATTTTTGATCACGATGGTCCGAAGATGGGGTTCGCAGCTCAAAGATAACCCTATATATAACATCCTCCTCGATTATAGAATTTTGGCGTTAAGCAACCTTATTCTAAGACCCGGTAGGAATTTAAAATTAAAATGCTGTCTGAAGGTAAACATGACGGTTATAATTCAGGATACTAAATTTTAATTTGAACAATTACTTTCCTAGTCCAATATTTTAAAGTAAGGAATGAGAATAAACTAAACGGCCTTGCTCGATTCATCCTGGAGCACTTCTGGGTTGGATCCCTCTTTTACCTGGCTTGGTGTCAAAGAGTAGTTCGGCTTTACGTCAAGAGCAGGGTTACGATCAAAAAAATTCCGAGGCCGGAGGAGTAGAGATACAGGTTCGACTGGCATGATCGGGAAGTCTTCTGGTGAAGGAAAGTGTGCTATTCCAAATGTGTGCCAGACAACTATATCAGTATTGTCGATGGACTGATTTGCTGTGCCTGAGATCCAGGCCGGAAGGCCATGAGACGGTTCGCCCGAAGTTTGAGGGACATGCCGTCCAGCGGGGTAAATTTGGTCATCCGAATCTGAAGAATACGTCAGTTAACGTGGGTTTAACTAAATGAAGAAGAAGAAAAGAAGAATAACTATGTCGAAAAGTTATGGGGCTTACACTTGGTAACGTGAATAGCATGTCTAGCAAATCCAGCTCGTTTCCAGACCAGACTTCCTTCCTTTGGGAGAAGAGAAGGCACTTCCCTACTTACTAATTTGTAACTTACGGGCATTTTACTATATTTATTTAATTTGTTGATGTTGGATATTTCCCAGGTACGGCTTGATGATCCGTCGTAGTCTGCAACGGACTCAGGTGGTGTACAATATTTTGTCCTTTTGGCATAAAAGGCGTTTCCATATTTGTTCTGGGGACTTCCAATTTCACCTGGGCCACGGACAGCGTCAACTTGGAAAACGGTGTTATTTGGCCCATCGATATTTGGATCTATACGTAGGCAAAATAGATGTTGATGATTGTGTGCATTTACACCAGGGTATACTTCGGTGCCCCAGCCTTTGGTATCCTCGTCAGGGTTCATAGCATAGGTATTCAAGATTCCAGTAAGTTTTATTTCCAGTTGGATAGTACCGTCTTGATGGAATATCCAGTACACACAATATTCATAGTTGGCGGCGGTGAATATATGGGATACGACCAACTTCTGACTCCTAGTGATAATGGTAGAGTTATCCCTAAAATCAGTGTGTTTGAACAGAATTCCAGCATCCTCTTCGTGAATACAAATGGCATTCTTGATAAGTGTGCTTGCGCCTGCAGCATTGACAAATGCTGCATCCATATAGTGTATGGTACCTTTGCAGTCACAGCCTAGGTTGAGACTGTTCGTTAAATATCCAGCTCCGTACTCTCCTATATCAAAGGCGTGTTTTCGCTGGTGAGGATGCTCCGGATTTCCATAAGGAACAACCATCTCTGCAAGAGACAAACGGTAAAAAACTGGCCTACACTCTCCTTTGTCGTTGAAGGTGATATTGTGAAGTACGATTCCCTCTCGGTGATTGAAACCAACGTGAAACTTCCAGTTTTGCCATTCTATGTGACGGCCCTCAACCTTAAATGAAACACCGTCCGGTTGAGTGATGTGTATAGGTTTAAGATCTTTCCTGTACCCTCCCTCTTTTTCTATCGCTTTGGGGTGGTAATTTGGCGGTGGCGCTTTGCTCACATGTCGACGGATGGCCGGGACATCAATGTGGATGAATTTCATGGTATTAGGGTTGAAAATGGGACAAAAATCCAGGGGGTAGGCATACTGACAGTCATCAATTTCGGGCCGGTAGTACATTAGTGCTTGCTGGAGACGGTCACTGTTGCCGAACCTTTCATCGTATCCAATAGTCCACGCTATTAACAAACGTCAGCTACAAAGTAAACCTGAGAGCACTCAGCATTGTTACGAACTCACGGTCACAATACACTCTATGCATATCTTCTCTGGGTATACCTATTGCCTCACACTGTTTAATGATATCCTCATCCTTTCTGGCCATATGTTCGACAAATTGTAAGTCTTCCATCGTTACCAATGGCTGAACGCCTTTCACCAGAGTCCATTCAACGATTGCGTTGGTAGTTAGATCAACTATTCCATCATAGAGTTTCCCATCAGGGGTAATAGCAACGACTTCTGCGGCTCTATGTGGTCTAGGAGAGTTGCCAGGGTCCTCAAGCCATGCCATCATCTGGGCTTTTCGTGGCTCCGATAAGGTAACAGTATTGAATTTGAGAGGTCCATCATGAGCCTCTCTGACTATGGCAACGGCTGCATCAATCTCAGATGTGGAAAGCGGGTCAAATGGATGCATTTGGGTTTCCTGGGAGTCTCTAGCCTGGGAGGGCGGTTGCTTTACTCTTTCAAAGACCATGATGGTGTAGGAAGAGTGGAAGTATAGATCATGGGCGATAGTATGTGGATGTTAAAATGGGTAAGAGGAAATCCTGGATGTAGTGCGGATTCATATATAAATCACACGGTATTCATATGACGATTATCACTGAGACCATTCAATGCGGGGAGGGCAAGGGCCAGCAAGTGCTTTACAGTGCGTGCATGTGTAACGGCATGGAGTGTAAGTATACCACCATGCTGAAATTCCAGTGGCCTATATTCCGTATTGGACTGCAGGAATACCTCACACCAGGGATTGCTTATAATCTAGTCCAAGCATATGCATGCATGTTACTGGGTATCTAGAAGAGCGCCATAGCTAATGAAAGATGGTTTATGGAGAAGAAATGAAGAAGAGGATGTGGTATATACTCCGTGCTCGCAGTTAATGTACGTCCGAGTTTCCTCTTTGGGATTTACTACAGGATTATGTAAGATGCCAATCCATAGTTATCAAAAAAAAGGGACACCTTGGCATCATTTGCCCGAGAGAGAGAGAGAGAGAGAGAGATCTACTCTAGTATGCTACCAGCAGGAGGAGTATTGAGGATCAGATAAGAATAGCCCGCCGCCTCCGTCAAATAACAAGAACAAGCCTCGATTCGTGGCAGCCCATCTAGAGCCGAAGAGTATAACCCGGTTTACCAAACATTTACGAGCCAATGCACACAACCCGTCTGCCAGCCAAATCCCACCTCGGCAACAATATAAAAGAGAAGGCGAAAGAGAATAGGGTAGAAGGTAGATATAGAGAGAGAAAAGACACCGTGTGAATGAAAAAGTAAGCCCATTTTTTCAAAACGCCAGGACACTCTTGTACAACAAAGTGGTTCAAGCTCAACACAAACACCACAAGCTGAAAATGCAAGGAAGAAAACACCGAGAAGAAAAAGAACATTCGTGTCGTAGAACACACAAAGCGCCATCCTCCAAGTTTTCTAGGGAAATGTTATAGATAGTTAAAAAGGATGTTGGGTTTTTTGTCGTTTGTGCGGCTATCCTTCATATTATGGGTTTGAGTTTGCTTCTTATCTTAGGATCGTGGGTGGAAATTCGCATATGCACCGGTTCCAGGGGTTATGCTACCTGTCTGACGGCCGGGAGTTTGATGGCTGTTCAACGCTGCGTGGCCTGTGTTCGGAGTACTAGGTGTTCCTGCGGCAGAGTACATAACAGTTCCATTAGGACCGGGGGTTTGGAGGGGCTGATTACCAGGATAGAAAGGCACGGCAGCAATCTGGCCATTGAGCCCCCAGATCTGACCGGAATATTTGGATCCATCGATGTTTCCGTTGAATACAAGCTGTCTGATTTTCCAGAAAATCTCACCGGTGACGAGGGAGTCCGAACCGGCTTGGTGGGCAATACCTACTCGCTTGACTCCTAGCTCATCAGCGATGTCCTGAAGGCCGGACTTCTGGCCAAGGTTGGCTATAATCTGGGCTGCAGCATGGGTTAGTGGAGATCCATTGGCGGTTTGATTCCGGCCGGCGTGTTTCATGAGGTATTTTATATCAAAGAGTGAAGGGAAGAATATGTTGAGGAGTTTGTGAAAGTCCTTCTCGTCATCCGGCAGGGGCTTGCACAGCATAATCTTCATGAGATAGCCAAAATCGTATCCGGAGTGGAAAGAGATCCAGTGAACGTCATCAAGCAGGACGAGCCCAGAGCTCATAAGCAAGGCTCCAAAGTCTAGCGGGTCGATGCCGTTCTTTTCGTGGAGAGAAAAGTCGATACCAGCCTTGGCCAGCATGCTAGTAGATTCCTGAGCGTACATGTCGTTTTCGAGAGAGAACTTGAAGTTAAATTGCCAGGTACACGGTGCGGGTACCAGGACGCCATTATACCCTTCTGAATTCGCATGCGTGGCCGTAACTGGAGGAACTTCCCCGTCCTCGGAGAAGAGGGTGATTCCGAGCTGTATCATCTTTAAGAGGTCAACATTACACCGTAGAGTCTGGTAGTGGTAGTCTGCTTTTGTGGTAAAGGTGCCCATGGGCCGGGCGACTATGCCTGGGAACTCCGTGTCCTAGACGCTGTTAGCCACCGCCGACTAACAGTAAGAAGTCACTTTTTTGCTTATGAGGGGGATGGATGGGCTACCATGCTGATGTATGGGTATTTCTCTACTAATGACCGTAGCATGGCCATTTCCTGCGCCAGGTTGTGCTTCCAGACATCACGTATCCTCGATTTGACGGCGTTACTCTTGGTGTCCATGGTGAGGCGACCGTCATGGCCGAGATGAACCTGCTGGACTTGGTGCTGTTGTAGTTGTTGTTGCGCCTGTTGCTGTTGCTGTTGTTGCTGCATTTGAGCACCCCTTACAAACCCCATCTGTGCGGCATGGCTGGCGAGTCCGGTGCCACTCCCGTCGCCCAGCACCCCCGCGCCCGCTCCGGTAGGGAAGCCGGCAACTCCAATACCATTGGCACCGGGTATACTGAAGGGATTGATGCTTGACTGGGGGTTGCTGGGCCCGAATCCGGGGTGTCCGCCCAGCGAGGGAGGGGGCAGGCCGGCGTTGGACTGCGGGTGCCCAGCGTGGTGCTGGGTCTGCTGCTGCTGCTGCTGCTGAAGATGTGCTTGCTGGAGGTGAGGGAAAGGGGCCGTCATGCCCGAAGGGCCATAACGGTTGACCGGCGGCGGCATCGATGCTACGAAGCGCGAGATGTATCACTGCGTGAGGGGGGTGAGGAGGTCGAAAGGAGCATCAGGATGTGAGCGAGCGGTTGGCCAAGCACCAGGCACCTCAACCCTGCGCTGTCTGCTCGCAGTATCGTTACTCCGGTGGTGTCTCCCGGCGTGTCTCCTGGGTCCGGCCGTCTGCGTGCTGTCGCTGTCTCCTGGCGTTCAGTTGTCTGCTGGCAGTCCGTCGTCGTCGTCGTTGTCGTCGTTGCTGGCTCTTGCTGGCTCGTCGCTGTCGCCGTCGTCGTTCTTTTCTGCGTCTTCGTCGTCTTCAGCTTCGAGCTTCGCCAAGCCCCGTTACCGCATCCGGTTAGAAGCTCCCGCGGCCAACATATCGAACTTCACTGAATTTCGACGACGGCCGAACTTTGGACTTCCTGCAAACCAGACCGACCACGCCAGACACGCCGGCATCGAGCCTCAATTGACCTGCTGCTGCGTCTGGAGCACAATAGCGGGCTTACTGTGGACAGCGGACTGCAAAAATTTAGACTAGCTGGACGACCGTCGACTTCTTTTTGTGGCATTATTTGTTAAACCCCTCCGCCTACGACGAGATGGCGCCTCCAAACCCAACCGGCTTCGACATGAAGACCTTCAAGGCTGCGGCCTCTCCTACATCAGAATGGGCGCTAAGGGATCCATGGAAGCGACAGTACGTTTGGCCAACTGCTTGTGTTTCTTCGCCACATTTTGGTTCAGGTTTGGAGCTAACTTGGAATGTTTGTACAGTGAGGCATGGAGATACACAGGCCCATTCTCCCGATGGAACAGATTCAAGACCGGCTTCCCAGGCCTCGGAATTGCGACGGTTGCCTTTGCCATATACTGCGGATACGAGTATGCGTTCCTGAATGACAACCATCACGGCCACAAGGAAGAGGGTCACCATTGAAGTCCATCGACAGCAGGAAACAAGATGCAAAGAAACAAATGCAATTCAAAAGGTCGATTTGAACGTCCAGAAACCAAACAGACTTTATAGAGCTACCCGCGGGAACCCCCTTTTTATATCTTGGAACGGAGGCTGAGATTCGGACTCCAAGAGTCGTTGTACATATTCTACTGAAAGGCGCAAATGGGAACAACAACTTTGTACTATTGAGTCCTTGCTTTTTTCTTATTGCCTGATTTATGTACGGCTAACCTACTTTTTCACTTTTCATATTCACATCAGGTCTATGCTGGTCCGTTATGCTGAAAAGAGAAATAACCCATCTGCCACAATTCTTCATTTCCATAGATGTAACACCCCTTACTCTTCAAATACAAGAGCTATACCATCATCACCGGCAGTGACTATCCGTCTGCCTTCCTTATCTCCCTGTACAAAGCCTAATATGCCACCAGACTGTTCTCCCTCTTCATTCTCAGATACGCCAACATGACCTCTCCATTCTTTCAAAAGTCCATGGCCGGCAGCTACAGTGCCGCCGCGGGTATCCCATCGTCTTACCACTCCATCCATTCCGACGGAGGTAAGTAACCATGGTCTGCCGGATGATGTACCAGCAGAGGCAGTATTGGTCTCGCAGTGAACGAATTCAACCTTCACCACAGCTGTTTCTTCATGGGCTCCACGGATATGTCGTCTAACAGCGAATCTATGCGCAACGTCAAACAGGGCAATGGACCCATCCACTGAGCCAGCTGCGAGGAGGTTCAGCGGAGGAGAGGAGAAAGACAGGGACTCGATGCCGTCTGACTGAGCTTGGAGAGAGGCAAGAAGAGTGCCAGCCCCAGAACCACTAGCTGCACCGGCGCCTCCTTTACCTTTAACCTTGGACTTTGCAGATGTATCTGTCAAACGAGGGAGTCCAACGACCTTGATATGACCTTCTGCACCACCAACGACAGCAAATGCGCCCGAAGGCGAGATGGCAACCGAATATAATCCCCCTTCCACAGCGAATCTCTGGTCCTGGACCGTCAACGCAACAACCGACTGCGTACCGGCAGAAGCAGTAACTCCAGCAGCAGCCGCAGCCCCAAACACATCATACACGTAAAAGCTACCTTCTTCAGAGACGGTAGCCAGCAATTGTCCGTCCGGAGTCCATGCGCCAGCAGTACAAGGCGCTGTATGTTGGAAATAGGTAGCCACTATCGTCAACGGTTCTGCGGCCTCCTCACTTGCATCCACACGGTACACCCATACACTGCCATCACTGGCACCGATAGCAACCACATTCTTTGTTTGCTCATCGTCGCCGGCCTTACTTGACGGACAAGTAGCGATCCAGTTAATCTCCTCGACTTCCTGCGACTCGGCCAGGAACTGCCATGCCCTGCCCGCCAGGTTCTCACTTGTATCCTTCCAGGCACGTAGTTTCCCATCCAGACCAGCAGTGATCACATATTCACCCCTTGGAGCAGTAAAGCACACGGCGTTTACCGAGTCCTTGTGTCCGTCTAAATGCGCTATGACGGGGAGGGATTCTCTCTCTTTACTTTGCTGTGGTGTTGTCTCGTAGCTCTTCGGCAGCAGCGGTTTCTCGGCCGCAGCAGCCTGGCTGGAGTCGAATATGTATGCGGTATCATCTCCGGAGCCCGTTATTATGATTTCAGGGTGGATTGGGTGCTGCGCAATGCAGAATATCGAGTCTGTATGCTTGTCGAAGTGTGCGGCGGAGTCGTTCTCGAGCAGTAGCTCTTCGTCCTCTTCCTCCATCGGGTGGTCATCGTCGACCTGGACTATCTCTTCTGCGTCTGCATCGTCTATGAACTCTTCCTCCATGTGCTCTCCATGGTCCTCGTCCATCGGATCTTGTTGCTGGCGCTCCGGCATCTTGTCCTTCGATATTTAGGTATTGCTTTGCGATAGAATTTTGGTTGGAGGGGCGAGACGAGGGGCAGTTCGGAGCAGAGGGATAACTAGCTATAAATCAACGGAATATATATCACGATAGCTCTAAAAAGATTTATCTGAAGAGGAAATTCAGAGTATCACAGACGACATTAAGTATTTGTAGCTTTCTTGAAAATAAAGTGGACGGAAGAAGTTGGTAGAAGGTTTGTATTCACAGTGCCGTTGATTATAAATATGACAGTCTACGCTGACAAAAATCACTATCAAGACCAACTATGTGCCTATGTAAAGTGAGAAAATCTACAACTTCGCCTTCGCCTTCTGTCGAGCCTCCTTCTCGCGGTCTCGGAGCAGACGACGAAGGATCTTGCCGCTGGGACTCTTGGGAATGACATCTATGAACTCGACGCCGCCCTTCAGCCACTTGTGCCGGGCCTTGTGCTCTTCCACAAACTGCTGGATCGACTTGATGACAGCCGCATCGTCTTTGCCGGCAGCAGAGGGCCCCTTAACGACAAAGGCCTTGGGCAGTTCTCCAGCCCGCTCGTCGGGTACGGGGATGACAGCACAGTCGGCAACGTCAAGGTGAGAGAGGACGTGAGCTTCGAGCTCAGCCGGTGCAACTTGCATTCCCTTGACCTTGATCAGCTCTTTTATCCGGTCGACGATGAAGAGATGCTCTGTTCCCTTGGGGGAGACTCGGAAGACTACTTCGTCTCCCGTACGCATCCAGCCGTCCTGGAATGTCTCTGCGGTGGCCTTTTGGTTGTTCAGGTAGCCTAGGACCACGGTAGGGGAGCGGACGACCAGTTCTCCTGGCTGGTCGTAGCCGGTTAATTCGACGCCTTCCGGGGAGACGACTTTTGCTTCAAAGCCAGGGAGGAGACAGCCAGATGAGCCCAGCCAGGTGTCGTAGATGCTTGTGGATGAGACCACTGTGCAAGTTTCAGTAAGACCTGCATACAATGCGATGTTAGTGTATCTGTTTGAGAATAGGTCAAGGGGTTCATTCAGGGCCTACCGTATCCCTGTTTTATAGCCCAGGACGGCTTCCAGGCCTGTAGCTCTTCTGCTGTCTCCTTGCCCAGTGGTGCGGCTCCCGTGAAAATGGAAGAGACACTGGAGAGATCTACTTTGTCACAAACTGCCTTGTTTCGCAGCATTGCAATGATGATTGGGGGCACTAGGAACAATGTGTTGATCTTATACTTTGCAATGGCTCCCAGGTACTGAGCCATGTCGAACTTGGGCAGGACAACCAGAGAGTCTCCTCGATAGGACCCAGCATGGCACAGGACAACGAGCGCATAGATGTGGCTCTGAGGCAGCAGGCCCAGGCTGACCACCGTAGCTGAACCTCCCCTTTTAACACGGGCCTCTCGTTCTGGCTGCTCTTTGATCCTGATCTGCATGGTATTTGCAATGACATTCCTATGCGAGATCATCACACCTTTCTATACATAAGGAGTATTAGTTGGCTGTCGATACAAGAGTATTTCGAGAGATTTAATATACATACCGGAAGACCAGACGTACCGCTGGAATAGCACAGGAAGGCCGTCTGCTTAGCAGCTTGACCAGGTCTCCATTTGGCCCTCTCAACCGGTGGAAGCGAGTATCCCTCCGTGATGAGCTGCTCCAACGTCTTGAAGCCTGCGGGTGTCTTCGCTGAGCCAGTAAATTCAGCAGGCAGGTCAATGATATACACCCGGCTCCTGGGTATCCCAGCCTTTTCAGCAGCTTCCAATGCACTTGGCAAGGAGGGTAGACAGGTGAACAAGGCCTTGCAGCGAGAATCTACCAGCTGATGGGCGAGCTCTGGCGCAGAGTAAGCTGCGTTGGCCGCGCTCACGATGCCAGACAGCCGATGCACCGCCCAGCAGAGAACCAAGTAGTCGATCTATCATTCAGTCAGCCAACTCTTGTCTTTCAACACGAACACTAATAGCAAAAATTGAAGACAGCCATGGCTTACCGAGTTGAAGCTGTAGATGCCCACGACCTTCTCCCACTCCGTCCCCTGATTCGGATGCCAGCCGAACTCCCTTGCCAGCGCGCGGGAGAGTACATCAACGCGCTCCGCGACCTGGGATATCGAGTATGTCCTGCCCGTGAGGCCGCAGACAAACGGATCTCTCGACTCCGCGAACGGCATGCGACCGTTGGCCTCGTCCAGGATGAAGTCGCATATTGGTATATCATCAGGGACCTTGGGCAGCTTCCCAGCGCTGGCAGGCGGATAAAACACCATCTGGCCGGCTCAGTAAATCAACTAGTTAGCTAATTAACCAGCAGCAACAGAAAGCAAGGCCTGTGTATTCCCCTGCTCTCGTGGACGCTGTAGGAGTGGACTCTTGAATATATATATATAGCTCTGCTGTCGCCGCAACCCCGGCCAGCCTCCACCAGGGTTCGCTTCTCCACGCGCCTGGCCCGGCCAACTGGCGCCCGAGCCGAGCCTTAACCGAGGCTGCGGCGTCAACTGGCTGTGACTTCGACAACGACTTCGGCGATAAGATTTCTACTTGGTTTCATCAGCTTGATGTCTACCCGGTAGAAGATGTAGCTACTCGTGTCTCTCGAGTACTCCGAGGTTTTCCGGCCAGCCCCCAAAATACAGAATGACTGGATGCTTTTCCGTGGAGATGAATATTCATGCCAGAAGCCAGTCAATCGAGACGTTAATCTCGTCCATCATTGGCCTACAGCAGCTGAGTTATTGACTGATTTGGGGGTAAGGCGCTGACCTGATGGCTCAGGAATAAAAAAGAGAAAAAATATATTCTATAATTTATTGTAGCTCGAGTACGAGTATACAAGCATAACGAAGGGAAAATCCTTATCCTTGCCGGGATTTAGTAGCTTTTATAGCTAACTATACCCTACTATAACTTAAGAGAGGTTTCTCCTAGCTAATAGTATTGGCGAGGCTTTAGATATTAGCAAATAATATGAGATTGCGCAGGCTGCCACCGATTCCAATCTGCATATCTGGCTTACTCGCGCAACTGTGCCTGTAAGTCGATGTTATTCGGTTCTTCTATCCAGACCGAGCATTTGTTGACTTGACCACCTGTTGTTGACAAGTGTATTGTTGGCCCTGGAAGTATGCTTGATAGGTGACGGAGGCGGAAACTCTGCCAACTGGAGCAGGCATGTTGGAGAACCAGTCAAAGCTTGAAGGGATAACAGAGTGATACAGAGATAGAAAAGGAAACCCGAAGCCGTCAGAAGAGGAGTCGTCTCTTGAATGCTGTGGTGCAGAGGCGCAAAGAGGGGGAGCAAAAGAGCAGCAGAGAAGACAACGGTGTGGAGGGCAGTCCTTGCGTGGTTCGTTCAGGGACAGGCTTATCAAAAGGTACCAAGGGGTTGAAAGCTCTATGACCATGGCTGCAGTTTGTCTTCCATTTGACTCGATATTGAAGCTGCTTCTTCCGGCCGGTAATTCGGGGGTTCAAGATTTCCTCCACTTCCCATTCTTCCTCACCCACCATCTATAATTTCCGGGGGTAGGGGGTCGTTGCGAGCTTTTGGTAATTTTTCGGGGGCAAAAACGTCGTGGTAGCGGTGTTCAATAGCTCTTTATTCCCTGTGTATGATATGCTGCTTCAATCAATGCATGCCATTTAGTGAGTGCTCTGCAGAAGATAGGCCAGTAGCTGCTCTGACCTGTAAAAGACGCGCAGATTTTAATAATTTCCTTTGTATACCATGAATGGTGGGTGGGTACCATCTCAATGGTCCCTTTCTGAAATTTTCGATAGAATACTGGATAGAGCAAGTCATTGTCTTCAAGTCTCATCTCCATCGTATTCGAACTCCGGGATCGGGTCATAATCGCCCTTCCAATGCTCTGACGCGGGTACCTGGTCTGGCATCACGTACCGAGCAGTAAGAGCAAATCGAAGTCTACCGGACGGAATAACCGAGTGCTACAATTACGGTAAGCATTGGTCCCAATATGCACCAAAGCAGAGGTTTAGTGACTTACCTCATAGTACTTTTGTAGATCCGGTCCATGCATCACAGCCAGGTCGCCATGGTTAAGCGCCATCGTACACATCGGAGGCGCCTCTCTTCTAGACGTGGGCAGAGCTTGTCGAGCAGCCAAGTACTGTTCTGAAGTTATTTCTTTGGCATTGAACTTCCGTGCAAGCTCGGCTCTTGCTTCTTCGTTTGCGCAGCCTGGGAGGACAGGATCGTGCTGCAGATATACCTTGTCCTTGCCATCTCTCTTGCGGAAGCCATTGTAGTACTCGTCCTTCATACGTATGAGCATGGTTGCCGGAGCCCCGAGTGAAAGGGTAGCTATTGTTGGGCCTAGAGACGATTCGCCGTCATCATGGTACCCAATCGACATGTCCTCGAAGTATCCAAGAGCAAGGAGCTCATTGGGCATTTGGAAGGCATTAGCGTCCACTGTATGCCGTGTGGCCCATTTTAGACGCTCGAGAGCACTGATAATAACCGGCGGAGCGGTGTTAAATGGTCGAGAGTCCACGCTCACGATATACTTATATGGCATTCCCTATAAACATGGTATTAGATATAGAATATATAGTAGTTGAGGCTAGGGAAAGCCTACATAGTTGACAGCGAAGTGAGAAGTCAGAGTTCCAGCGACTAGATGGAGGATTAAATAGTTAGCATTTGTGACCGAATAACTTTAGCATATTGAATACGGACAGATCCAGGCTTTGTCTTTGGATATGTCTCAATTTTTGTTTGCTCCCTGCATGTTGGTACCAATACGGGGAGATACATTCAAGCTTTCCAAGAGAAGGAATCGAAGAAGAAAGAATAGGATGAAAGAATGAAAGGAGAAACCTACCAACACAAGGAGAGATTGGGTATCGTCTGAGACCTAGATCTTCACGTTGCATCAGGCTGAAGAGGTCATCAGGCCCACCGGGACGGCTGTTTACCGTTCGGTTAGCTGCAAAATGGGTCACTATGCCGGCACCCGGAAGGACAAAAGTGTCCTTTCGGTAATTCTTCATGTACTGAATCATTGGCATTGAGCTGATATCCTTAGGAACAGTTGGCAGTCTGTGACCAGATGGGCTCATCTCCAAATCAGGCAGTACGGATCGTAACGAGACATGGTTCATAGGTGGGCTGTATTGAAATCCACATCCGGCTGTCGAACATTCCCATCGCCTCCAATGGATTCTGGCAATACACGCTCTACACTGCGGGCAAACGATGCCCTTCCATGCCATTCGTGTGCCGGTGACATCCGTTTGATCATTGGAGAAAGTTGAAAGGAGGTCCGGTACCAAGCTGCAAGGAGGTAGGACAACATTCTTTGGTTTGGACCGCTTTGTGAGAAACTCAGGGGCAAACGTGAGCTGGGATGGCGGCAGTGATCCTTCCATCTTCCAGAATTCGGCACACTGCGGGTTAAGACACATCCAGCCTTGAGCAAACACTTGAGCGGTCCCAATTGAGCAAGAGAGGCAGATAGGATCTGGGGCTGGAGTTACAGACTCGCGTTGTTCAAGGGGGACAGGGTCAGGAGAACCCTTGGGAGACCACCAGCTTTTTGTCGCGAGGCTGATCTTTTCGAAGCGCATCTGAGCGCCCTTCTGCTTTCCGACTTGCTCGAACCAGATATCTGTGATTCTGAAGAAGTCCAAGACATTGAAATTGTACGGGACCTTGGTGCGACAGTCCGCGTTCTTGGCCCCTATCTTGCATGTTAGATAGGGGGGACATATAAAGGAGTATATCGATTGAAATTTTTAGCTTTACCTAGTATGAGGCCAACAGGGATCTCGAGCCTCATAGAGTTGATGAGGGAGCGAAGAATAGGCCCGTTCGGATCATGGTCTTTGCTCATGACCAGCTTGCCTTCCTTCGTCTTCTTGCATGAGCCGCCCCTTTTTCTGAATTAGAGCCAATCTCGCCTCTGTGCTGGGTCAAGAGATAACTTACACTCTGGTGATGACCACCTCATCGTCTATGTATGATCTATCACCGCAGTCTCCATCAATGAGTACACCGCGGCAGATGTTGTCAAGGTAGTAGCAACCTCCCTGTACAGAATGGAACCAGGGAAGAGCATCTCCAAGAACAACTCGGTCCTCAGCCCACACTGGAGGTTGACCGTGAGGTTCCAGCAGCTCATCTTTGAGTACTGGAACAACGATCTCAGCCTGTCCAGCTTGGGACTCGCAGCCATCTTTCTCAGTAGAAGAACGGCTACTGGATCCGGATTTAGCCCAAGAGAGCAACGTGTTGGCTACGGCATATTAGTCAGTAAACATCCTAACGTGCCGTATATCAGGCTTTGAAATCCAAAGAGGGTGGTTTGTGGTCGTGGTTGTGGCTGTGGTGGTATCTAAAGGGGGATGTAAATATTTTGCTTTCACAAAAGGGGTAGTTGGTTAATTTCTTTTCTCTAGACAGCCAACAGGACATTGTGGCACACGTGATATCGCTTGTTTTCCTATGGTATATTGAAAGAAATAGAGGAATAAGGACATCAAGTGAGAGTAAGTGAGGACAAGTAATGGTATCTCATAAGGAGTCTTCCCTGTTCAAATTCCAACATGCCTTCCTAATAGCAATACAATAGTAAGGTGGGTATACAGCCAATAACCAATAACTAGTATATGCAGACGTGGCTTATAAAAATATCGATAGGTAGATATATCAAGGGACGATGGCCAAAAATATCAGTAATACATGGCAATGTATGACATACCCTGGAGTAGTGTCTTCCTCTGGGAAGCTCTGGTCCTTCGAGTGACCCCAACACGACCAACGACCTTTAGTACGTCGTTCTTGGTTTCAACCATGACTCCAAAGACAGCTGGACCCGTATACGGCAATACAGGGATATCTTTGAGGCAGCGGGAGGATTGTTCCAACAAGGGTACCTTTGAGATAGCAGGGGAATTGTTCCAACAGGGATAGTTGCAATAAAGGAAGTAAAGTATTGAGCAGTGTATACCGGAACCTTTCTGAGGAATGCGAGGTTGGGCTTGTCGACTTTCTCAGTGGGTAGGAAAGAGGAAAAAGGGCAGGATTCCCCCGGGGGAATAGCGACTTAAATAGAGCAGCCAGGTAGCCTCTTACCCTCCTTCACGGAGGGGATATTCACCTCGAATCGTAAATGCTGCTTTTTCGTCGACGGTGAAGCTCAATCTCGGTATGAAAGCAGCAAGTGAAATCGAATTCACAGATAGGGGTGTGAAAAACACCAGAAAGCCGAATAATCACAAAATAGTGAAATGTAAATGCCTCTCTGTAGTAAGAGCTTTCCACTCATGTTTGTGTGTCTCATGCACACCGTCAAGTTTTTCGTATAGAGTGAATGATAAGTTTAATCAAAACACCACCGTATAAACATGAAGTAGCTGTTGGAGCATAGAAGTCAGTCGCTGAAATAGGTGATATAGGTTATGGGATAGACTGACTGGTATATTCTCCTGGGAAAAGCTTGAGAGCGAGGAGAAGGTAAGGAGTAAAGGTGAGATTGTAACCCCCGATGCGATGGTATATGTAACTTCTTCCAAGGCAAAGTATTACCATATAAGAAGGTTGTGGTGTACTGTATTGTGGACTCAGCCTCAAGGGTGCGTAGTATGTTATGTATTCTGCAACCCCGGCAGCAGCACCGACAGACGGTAGGGGTAAAGTTGAGAATGAGCCCCTCTACCCGATGGTATAAGATATGCTATCTTCTTCCAAGGCGAAATACTACCATATAAGAGTGTTGCGATGCACTGCAGTGTAGACGCCGCCAGAAGGATGCTGGGGCAATTTATATGGATGGCCATGCAGCGATATCATCGATAGGCAAAAGACGTGAGCATCCGTACTCTGATGCCGTCATAGACAACAAGGCGACTTTGCCGAATAACTCAACCAGAGTCCAAGTTGAAGCCATTCCATGGAACGGTTGCTTATATCAAGAACTTTAACCATGACTGCGTAAAAGGTGCCAGCTTCGGATATGGTGGTACTGCTGGTGCTGTTATTGTTGAAAGCATTGATATCCCCGAGTTCTCCTAAAGGAAATACAGGTGAAGTGGGGGATAATTAACGATATAATAGCCACGACAGTATGTGGTGTTGATAGAGGGCCTGGCCCCCGGAGGATATCCGGATCCCCTCCAGTACACAGGCTGCGAGTGCCAGAGACCGAACCAAGGGACGTACCACATGGTGTATATATGTCGAAGTCGGTAGTCTGCTAACGGAAGAGTCGTAGGCAGGAGGTGGAGATGAGTTTTAGGTATCGTATGAGCATATTTCAAAGTATGACGGAGGAGTATCTTAGGAAATGGAAGAATATCTTGGGAAATGGAAGAATATCTTAGGGAATGGAGGAATAATCTTGGGAAATGGAGGAATATCTTAGGGAAAGGAGGAGGATGGTGATAAGAAAGGAAGAAGAAAGGAAGAGGAAGAAGAAGAGAAACGACGGCCCTTTTATAGACAAATTTCCAGGTCCAGGCTAATTCTACGGTGACTGAGGCCCAGCTGCAAGAGGAATAGGGGGTCAGGGGGGAAGCCAGCAGTGATTCGTCTCATGCATTAACTGTTGGTAAACATGGCTCTGGAGGAGGATAAACAGTGAAAGATGAGACGGACAGTGAAGATATAAGACGGAATCCACAGGCATTAACTGCTGGAGACAGTGACTCTGCTGCTTCTTTCTTTGCAGGCAGTGAAAGAGACAGTGAAAGGGGACTCGGTCAGGGGTAGTCATTGAATACCGATATTGACTGTGACGCCTTGAAGGAAGACTCGATCATGGTCTGTAGTCACCATCACTGTCTCTATCACTGTCTCTACCACTGTCTCTGCAATAGATACAGCCCGTAGATAGGTAGTCAATATCAAGCCGTCGACTGGCATGGCTTTTCTCCTGTAGTTAGCAGACACCTCCTGGTCGAGACAACAGACGACTCCTCTACTACTATCACCATCTTGATCTTCTTCTTCATCATCATCACTATCATCGTCTTCTTCATCATCGTCTTATCATCGTCGTCGTCGTCGTCGTCTCTTCAATGTCGTCCGCTTCAACGTCTTCAACGTCCTCGCTGACTAAGCTCCCGCCCCAAAACGATCTCAGCTTCGACGGCCGCAAAAAAAAAAGCGACGTCGAAGGCGAGCATCAACAAGCATCAACCAGCATCAACTGCGCCCTCGCTGTCGTCTCTTCTCGTCCGGCCGAAGCAGCGATGCTGTCCCTGGCCGCGGCCCTCGCTCGATAGTCTCCTTGCTGCACCAAATCGTCCGCTCGTTACCCGTCAAGCCGCCGCTTTCTTTCTTTTTCCCGCGCGCACCAACGCATAGTTAACTACTTACCCCCCCCCCGGCACCTCCACGACCACCGCCCATGTCCTGGCCGCCGTCTTGCGTCTCGAGATCGATCGCCTTGGACGGTGTACGCGGGCAGGCTGACCGAGGCCGGCTCGTCCATAGAGGAGTAGAACGCAGAACGCAGAGCGAGAGACTCGCCGACGATGTCTGACCAGGAAAACCGCCCGCCTCGCGCCTATCCGCCGCTGTCTGCCGCTGTGTCGCATGGCCCGTCTCAGCCTCATGTCCACCACGGCCAGCAAGGAACCGCTGCCCAAGCTCCCTCCCAGCAGCAGCACTACGCCTCCCAGTATCCAACGGGGCCTCATCTCGCCAGCCAGAAGCCGCCGCCGCCGCACGCCCAGATGCAACGGTCTCCCAGCTACCAGGCCGGCGACGACACCGGGTACTTCGACTCCAGGGCTGCTGCTCCTGTTGCTGCCGGCGGAGGAGCAGGATCAGCATACCCGTACCATGACGGTCGCGGCGGCAGCCTCCATGGGTCTCACTCCAGCAACTTCGGCTCCAGGCATTCGCAGCACTCCACCGTAAGCCAGACATCCTCCCACGGCTCCTCTGCCATGTCGGGATACCAGCACCAGTACCAGGGGCCCAACACACCCTCTCCGGGCCAGCAGCAGCCGTCATACAATCCCCAGCAATTCTCGCAGCAGCAGCAGCAGCAGCAGCAGCCTCCTCCCACGCCGCAGCAGGCTGGCTACAATCCACAGGTCTTCTCGCAGTTCTCCAGCCAGCAACCGCATCATCAGCCCTACAATCCTGCTGCGTACCAGTCCTCGCCCTCGGTGGGTTCATTCCAGTTGTCTCCCGCTGGAAATTGGTCTACAGGCACTCCAGTGCAGACCTCGTATCCTTCTACCTCGCCATCCTTCTTCCCGCCGTCTCATGCTGTGCCTACTTCGCCGGATCCCATGTCGGCTCGCCCGCTGGACACGTACAATGACTACTCTCTCCCATACGGCAACAACACAACCCACCACCACCCAACTTACCCTCCAATGCCGTCTCAGAGTGTTGCTGCCACTCCTGTGTCTGCGCACCCTTCTTCATACTCGTCCTATAATTATCCTTCCTCAAATCACTCCCAGTCAACGACAGTTAGCTATGGCACCGAGGCCACAAACGACCGTATCCGGAGATACTCTTCCGCCAAACCTCCAGCGCAAACTCCGGATTACCAGTACATGCCAAACCCGCCCACCCATGGCTCGGTTCATCACGATGCAGGGTACAGGACTGCTTCCAGACATGCCTCCTATCCAGCAAGCCCCCAACCCCCGCCCCCTCCAGCTCACCAAAACTCCCAGTCCACTTCCCCAAGGCGTACGGATACACTCACCCGTCATCCACAGGCTCGGCCGCTGCCCGGTCCACCGACTGAATCCGAAGGACGAAATGGTCGTGAACAGATAGAGCCGAGCTACGATGACATTATCAAACAGGTAGAGGCTGCTGTCATGGAAGGGAGACCGGATACCACTCGCAGACACAGTTCACGGGCGAGACGACCGCTTCCACAACAGCCTCCCATCCAGGAATCAGACGATGGTGCTTATCCGACTTCTGCTGTTTCGCCCGGTGTACAGCTCTTACCAGATGAAGTACAGACCCACACCAATGGAGGCAATATCAGCTCTACCGGGACAGGACAGTACGTCAATTACAATGCCTACAGTGACGACAGTGATGCAGAAGTGGCCGCTGGGCTGGAGGCACTTCGAGTAGCTGAGGAGGAGGAGGCCGCCATGCGTGCAAGGCGAAATACGCATACTTCTACCACCAGCTCGTTCGGTTACCAGCATCAGGAACCACCACCACCTCCTCCTGCCCAAAACCAGCAGCACCATGGAGAGTCCAGTAGCGACAGTGACTTTGCTCTCCATGACATTGGCCTCTATGGTGGCGGATACAGCGCCGACGTGCACTACGGAGAGGATGCTTTAATGCACGGGGTGAGAACCAGCTCCCAGCCAGATGGCAGAGGGAGCATCCCCAATCAATATGACTACCCAAGCATCGACCAAGATTCCATACATCCTTTCCCGGAGATCGAGCCCACTGCCAGGGTCGACACCGTCGGAACTGGCGGACTCTCAGAACCTTCAGCTTATCGCCGCATGAGCTTTGAAAACGGGGATGAAGCGGCTCTCAGACGACCATCGTCCGCCACAAGCTCCCTTAGCGACCTACCCGGAGAAGGGGAACCTCAAGACCTGTTCTTCCACCCTGGAATGAGCTCTAGACCCCTACCGCCCCCACCTGTCCCGGTTGCTACCCAAAACCTTCTTCCTCACCTAATGCCCGCAGGCACATACCGCTCCAGCGAACATACCGGCCAAATACCCCTAGACCACTACCATATGCCACCCTATCCAACTTCCCCGGACACATATTCCTATTCCAATTCTACCTCTGCCGTGCCTCGCTCAACGTCATTATCAGACCATACAAACACGCATAAGTCCGCAGATGCAATCATTCGCTCCAAGACGGACGCCGACAGGGCTAAATCTAAACAAGCTGCCTATGACTCCTCCCTGTCAACCCCATCAGTCACCCTTGACCTCCCGGTTCTACCGGCGGGCAAGCGGAAGAAGTTCCATCCAGGTAAACTGTCCAGTGAACAGTTCCGCAAGTGCACAGAGCCATGGGCCATTAGTGCTATTGTGGCTTGGATAAGAGATCTAGCTGAGGACGAGGCGGATCTAAAGGAGCATTCAATTGTCGACGCAATCGTTGCCTTACTCACACACAAAGTGCCCACGATGAACACTGCCGACGCCGAAACTCTCAGCGACAGAGTTGTTAAGAGCATGTTTGCAGCAGGAGCACTGATCAAAGACGAGGAATGGGTGAAATTCGGGCCAGGGACATTGTCTGGTGTCCTGTGGCAGATCACCGGCCAGGGATGCTATTCCTCCCGTTTACATAACCAAGAATATGACATCTTCGGACGATGTTATTCCCATCACTGCATGAGGACTTTGAAGAAAATCAACTTGAAAATGGTGGAAGCGCAGAAAAAGGCCGAAGATTGGGCGACCTTCTATAAAATTGGCAAGGAAGTCTTCTCAAACCACTCTAAAAAGGAGATTGACCGCCAAAACAACCTTCACGAAATCGTCACCACAGAAGATTCATATATTGCACAGCTCGATGTTCTGCGGACACTCTATAGGGATACCCTTGCTACTGCACAGCCATCCGTCATCAATCCCAAACGTCTCGATAGATTCCTCAGGGACGTCTTTGGGAAAGTTGATGCGGTGAAGAGGGTGAATGAAGAATACCTACTGGCTCAGCTGAAGTACAGGCAAAAAGAGCAGGGTCCCTTCATTGTTGGCTTCAGTGACATTTTCCGAGAGTGGATTCGAAAGGCCAAAGCAGCCTACATTGAATATGCGGCAACATTCCCCAATGCTAATTACCTTGTACGTCGGGAAGCTGAATCGAACATGCTCTTCCGCTCTTTCTTGAACCAGGCCCGTGAGAACAGGTTATCCAACAGATTAAGTTGGGACACGTACTTAAAGGCCCCTATCACACGTATCCAGCGTTATACACTGCTTCTCAACACCGTCTACAAGAATATGGAAAAAGATTCAGAAGAGAAATCCAATCTGCTGCAGGCTATTGAGGAAATCAAGCTTGTCGCCTTGGACTGTGACAACAAAGTCGGAGAAATGACCAAGAAGATGGATCTTAAGGAGCTAGGCGCTAAGCTGCAGCTGAGACCGGAGATGAAGTCTATCGTCGAGCTCAATCTGGAACACCTTGGGCGCGAAATCATATACCAAGGAGACCTGCAGCGACCGAGGACAAAGAGGTTCAACTGGGTCGATATCCGAGCCATTCTCTTCGACCATTACCTTGTCTTGGCGAAGATAGTCATCCACAGAGATGCCGCTGGCATAAAGCATGAGATGTTTGATGTCTCTAAACTGCCTATTCCCATGGACCTTCTCACTTTGGTCAGCACCAATGATGATCCGGTAGTCAGGTCAGCAGTCAAGGGTATTGCACCCGCTAATCCGCGGGCTGGGGCCCCAACCGGTCTAGCCCACGCTGCAACCGCACCGCAAATAACTTCTCCCACCCCAGGTGCAGCCGGCAGATCAGTAACCACCACTGTCCTGGAAAACTCCCGAGACGAGAAGATCCTCTATCCCTTCAGAATCAAGCATCTCGGAAAACGCGATGTTTACGTTCTGTACGCCCCAACGGCCCAATCACGACAGGATTGGTGTGAGAAGATCTACGAAGCAAAGACCAAACACGCTGCTGCTCTCTATGCTCAGAATGCAGAACCATTTAGACTGCGTGTCCTATCAGACTCGGCCTTTGCTTACTCGGACCAAGCCGTTCCTCCTAAGAGTGCAGTTATCAAGGGAACCCCCCTTGACAGAGCCATCAGAGAAGTTGAGAAGAAGTATGAACGAAACTTATCTCGACCGTTACCCGTTTGCAGAGCGGCTGTCAATTGTGCAACTGTATTCCAGCAGCCTCCAGGGAAAATGATGTGTGCCGTCGGTACGGACTATGGCGTGTATATCTCTGCGTATGATGATCCTCGAGGATGGACAAAGGGGATTTCAATGTTGCGTGTTACGCAGATTTCTGTGTTTGAGGAATTTAATCTCTTCCTCTTGATTTCTGACAAGTCCTTGATCGGGTATCATTTGGACTCAATTTGTCCCGTCAATGGCGCTGTGCAGCCTGAC